TGCTTTCATTTGCTTTGCACAATTTCATTAGAGATGAAGAAGAGATTTGAAGAAGAGATTTGAAGCGACAAAGATAACGATCTAGTGGAAAATACAAAGAATAGCATGAACAGAACAAATGGGGAAACCTTTAGAACATGAAGTAGCTATATAGCTACAATAAAAAAAATAACAACTGCATTCATCTAATGAGAAAAGACGGCTTATAGATGTTAACACTCACAGAGTCAAAGAAAAAAAGCAAGTATCTTTAAAATGTTTATATGAATGAATGACAAAACTGGCAAAAACAGTGATTGTAATGAACGAAAGCGTACGGAAAACAGGAGAGCCATGATCTACGTACTGAAGAGAAATGACATATAAGAGAAATGCTCGATCTGTGCACAAATTGCACCAAATTTTGACAGGTGTCATATTAACTTACGAGGGAGTGTTTTAGTTTTGAAACCAGAGAGATATTTATTGTTTTTTTTTATTTGTTGAATTTAATAAAATTTGTCTAACTATATATTATATACTTTTGTAAGTATAAGGTCTAGGTTAGCTTTTAACGAAGAAGTGTTTCAAGAACTAACCCTAAGGGTCATCATTATTGCAGTCAGTTCGTTTCTCAATAGGAGTGCCACACTTATGGCTTTACGCCAGACTAAGCAAACTTAATACTTATAAAAAAAATGTCTATATTTAATACGCAATGTGTCGTAAATATTTTAGTACGTCAAGGATTAAATTATTCAATTCAAGAGATAGGGTAAAAAGTATTAATCGCCTCAGGTTTTCTTTCTACAGAAGGATTGTTTTGTATAACGTTACATTTTTACTTACAATCCCTATATGAATAGACACAGTGATTTAAAAAAAAATAAAACGAAAGCTTCTTTTAATGTAAATGCTTCGAGCATGAATCTTTAAGATTTTAGCGTGAATGAATGCGAGGATTTCTGTTAATGTGGTATGTTTCATCGCAGATTACGCGGGGATATATTTTGCACTCAGTATGACGCCAGAAAAGAAAACTGCATCAATGGGTTCGCCTAAATCATGACCTCCTGGTCAACAAGTGCAGAACCGTGCCTCAAAGGATATCATCGGAGGTCCAGATATAAGATACACGTGCTCAGAATACATAGGAAAAAATCATATCAAAGAGATACTTAAAGGCCAACGTCTGATGAGAGAGAAAACTGTCTATCATCGGCATCTACTCACAAAAACGTAAAATCTACGTTCTAGTGAGATCCCGGGACCGCACATACACACACTGGGTTACAATAACCGTCGAAGGCCCTTGGTTGAATAAAATATAATGTTTTGTATAGGAGATTCTACCTTGTATTTTCATTTTTTAACACAAAGCATTCGTTTTCCGACATGCCCTCCACATTATCAGTACTGCAGATCGGCTGTTTTACAAAGTGACCTACATACTGTTTTCTTGAGTGAGTGCCTATTTGTCTAATAATCCCAACATCAAAAGAGAAATATTCCGGTGATCGCTTTTAGAGAGTTATACAAATTAACGCATGAATTAAAAGTCCTACCCATTCGCATTCTATCGCTTGCAAGGAGATAAGTGAACAAAATTACGAATATTAATATTTAAATTTTACAATCAGTGACCCGGACTTGTACCCAAACGATCAAGGACAAAATGTATATTTATTAGAAATATGAATTTTCGGTTTGTTCTTATAAATTATGTATAATGTGTGTGTGTGTGTGTGTGTGTGCGAGCACGTGTGCGACATAAAATATAGTTTTTAAACTATAGCCGAGAAGTGATCAATATCAAAAATACAAAGTAAATATATATATATATATATATATATATATATATATATATATATATATATATATTACCACAGGATACCGACAGTCTGTCTCCTGCTTAAACGCAATACATTTGATGGCTCGACGATTATGGGCAACATCATAAAAAGAATGAATGGCTAAAATTTAAAGCTCCAAAATGACGTGAAAGGTGAAATTATGGTCATATGTTATGGCAGAACAAAAATAACTGTCCTTTAAATGGATTATGCCGTACTGAACGTTTTGTATATTGTGCCGAAGTGGAAGGTGAAAATAGTAGCACAAAAGGATACCTCGGTTGCAATGAGGGTCAGTTCAAGAGGCGTTCGTATAATCACACCTCATCTTTTAGAATCCTGCTACGTAGGTGCAACACGAAACTACCAAGCTTTTATTGGAACTTTAGGGTGAGGCATAACAAAAGCCCAAACATTAAATGGAGTATATTACAACTACCATAATAAAGACTAACATAATAATCGAGAATATGTGGAGGCTATACCAAGAAGAGAAAGTAGTTATAGCAACGTAGAAAGACAGCACCGAACTACTGAACGGAAGGTCAGAGATCATGACCGGGTGTAGACACGTTAAGAAGTCCAGCTTGAGGTTATTTGAAATCGGATAAAGTCAGAATTTTTTTTATACAAATCCCCCACTACTTGAGTTCTTGAACTCCATGTTGTTGATTAGCTGAACAAACCTCCTGAGGCGATTGTAGTTGTGGAAACCATGGTATTCTTCTGGTTAGAATGAATCTTTCTAAACATGCTGGAAATTTTAAATATTATTTAAATTTTTTTTTTTTTAATAAAGCCAATTTCATAGTAATGGAAAGAAAAAGAGAAACAATAGAAATGAAATCGGGTAGATTAAAAAATTACAATTACAATTCTTACATTATATATATATATATATATATATATATATATATATATATATATATATATATATATATATATATAGAAACACTGAAGAATAGTAGCAACAAAAGATCAAAACTCAATTATATAAAATCTGAAAGTGGAAACCCTAGACAAAATAGAAGTAGAAAAATTATTTGGTATACCCCCCATTCATCCAAATTGTAAAAAAAACATATTAGAACAAAAATTCCTTGCATTAATCTTTAAACATTTTACTAGAGATAGTAAACTCAGTACACTTCTTAATAAAAATACCCTAAAATGAAGTTACAATTGTACTGAAAACTTAGAAATCATTATATCTTGAGGAAACCCTTAGACCAAAATCAAAAAAAAATTAATATGATAAAAAGAAATGAACACAAAGAAAAATGTGTAACTACAGAAATCCTCAAAACTGTCCACTTAATAATAAATGTCGCACTGAATCCTTTGTGTACCAATGCAATATCTCATCTACTGAGGATCCAGACAAAGTAAAAGTCGATATTGGATGTACAAGACATGAATTCAAAATGCGTTGTAACCAGCTTCAAAGTAAATACCGAAATCAGACATCGCTATCTAAATATTTGACATTTAAAGGAAACACCTAATGTAAAATGGAAATTAAGAAAAGCCAGTTTGTAGGTAATAATTTTTCTACTTCTATTTTTTCGAGGGTTTCCACTTTCAGATTTTATATAATTAAATGACCCATGTCCTTTGCGCATACATGAGAAAATATACCTTTTTAAGTTTATCAAAAATAAAAATGTGCTTAATCAAAGAAATGAAATAGCTATATTTGGCAGACACTGTCAATTTTCCTTTAATAATGATAAAAAAAAACAATAGGAAAAATGAAACATACATATTTATACTAGATCTTTAAATAATAATTGTTAAATAAGAAAGTAATACTAATATATTTATTTGTTTTAAAAGAAGTATATTATATTAGTAATTAGAATTAGGAATAACAATTTGAGATTGTATTTAATATGACGTACTCATATTCAAACAATCCTTTTGAAAAAAATCTTTGTGTATGCAATTATAAATTTAAGTACAAAATTAAAGTCCTGTAAAATTTTTCGTCAATAAAAAAATAAAACAGACGCCGTGCGAAAAACGGATGTCATCATTTTTTGAACAGTCACCCCTACCTTACTTGACATAACCTCATTTGGAAAGTAACTCATAGTTTGATACAATAGTTATCAGTGAAAATGAATAGCCTATCAACCCATGTCAAAATGATTGAATTTCCCCCTAATCTAATGATGTGGATGCCAAAGTTGGGACCACAGGAGTAAAACACGGAGAACGGATTAGATGTAAGAAATATATATTGACAACAGGTTACAGAGATAGTGTAAGCGGGGCTTACTATATGTTAGTGTCCAACACTGGTAGTCGTACGCGGCTGTCACTCACTCTCTCAGTGTCACCCTCTGTCACTCTCTAGAGTGCTATGTCGCCTACTTAATATAGGCCTGGAAGAGTCTATTGTGTTGGTAGTTTCCGGTCTCACAATACTAAGCAACTAATATCAAGAATGTATGTGCTTATAAAGTCAATAAATTTCAAAATAAGTTATACCAAATATCGCTTGAAAATGAAACAGGTCTAAGGATTTCAATTTAGTTCTAAAATTAAATATGTATTTTTTAGTTTCTAATTTTGAACCATGGTAATGCCTGTGTATCGATGGGACCATATTTTTAAATTAGTAAATTTATAATATTTATGCTCTGCAGGATTGCATTGAGCACTGATTTTTTTTAAATTAAAAATAATTGATAAGAACACCGGATTATAAATCTTACTGTTCTTTCTTATTATTTTAATATATATATATATATATATATATATAATGCGGCAACTTTGGAAAGTGCCTGAAAACCATACCACTGGTTTAACCAAGCCTTGTGAGTGAAATTGGGTAGACGGAACATTTGTGGACCGTCGATATCTTTGCTATCACGAAGTCACAAGTCATCGTCGAGTGTTTAAGTGTGCTGGCCTTGTTCCTAGTGCTGATTACGCTAGATAACACGCTCCATCCCAGAAACTGCTACTAAGGTCTGCTCAGCGTAGCTGCGGTATAAATCACAGGTGGGTTCTGTGGGTTTTGAACAAGCACAAATATGCCTGAGCGAGAGTCGGCAATGGGAGTTGGCTAGCCGTCCTAGTAGACAGGAATCCTCGAATACGAGTGACCAGCTATTATGTGTGTGTGTGTGTGTGTGTGTACTTTATATCTATATCATGTTT